AGGAGATCGGGCTGAAACTATAGCTACAAGCTATCCAAGGATGGTACTATAGAATGTCACCTCAAGGTAGGCCTAGTGGCGTCATCTCTTGGTTAGGCCGGAAACTTATCAATCCACCCTCGTAAGCTAAACCACATGCAGTTGTAACAGCCAATTTTCATATTATATGTACCTATATCCTTTTGCATATATCAGCACGTGAAGCTATTAAATAATTATTCTTTCCATACCACTTTTGTAGAGGGAGACTTACCGTTTATACTTAAATACTAAAAAAGTTTCACCGATGTTACAATTCATACAATTGAAAATGAAAATACGGGGGAAGATCGTAATATTTTTTACAGTTTGTTGTTTGAAAATCATGGCAATATCAAAAATATGAGATCAAGATCAAAATCAAGATTAACATGTCGAGAAACTCTTTTCATTAAGACCATTTACTAAAGCGGCGATGCAATAAATGAATAAAGTCGAATGAAGCATCAACGGACAAGTGGAAAAACGAATGGTAACGGACAAGTAGGAAAACATATGGCAAACGACAAGTGGAAAAACGAATCGCAAAAAAATTTTTACGGGCGGGTTTTCAAATTGGACAAGTACATCAACAATCTGCCCGTACAACTAGAATTCAAAATTTTCTTGCGATTTGTTTTTCCACTTGTTCGCTGAAGTTTCACTTCTACTATGTGTCCCAGCACACATTTCGTTTTCACAGGTTTATTGAAAATTATGATTTGGCTTTTACACAGACCGGAAATACAGGCAATGATGCCCAGCCGAGATAAAAACAACTGCTGAGCACAGCACACGCCGCCGGGACTCTAGCGGACTCTCCGCGCTGCTGCACATTGTATCCATGTAATACAGTCGTTGTCCTCTCTCCCCCCGCCAGCCTTTCTTTCCCCCACCCCTGCCGCCTCTAACTTCGCGATATACCGTTTACCCCCTCCACGCGGCCATAACGCTTTTTCGCGACAAAAAAATCGCAATACCCTCCATCTATAAAGAAGTTTCACTTCAAAAGAAACGAATGGAATTGCGTTTCCAAGCAGCCTTCGTACTAACAACCCCATGATGATGATTGAAATGAATATTGTGTGTTTAATTTTTATACTATTTTCTGTTTGGCTACATGTATACAGAATCCAAAGCAACATTCGCTTTGTTCTTTCAGAACATTTGCAGTACTTGAGGTTGGGAGATAATAACATCCATACTATTCCATCAGAAGCCCTTCGTCGCCTTCACAGATTACGTCACTTGGATCTGCGAAGTAATAACATTAGCTACATTGCAGACGATGCTTTTGCGGGCTACGGAGATTCCATAACGTTCTTAAATCTTCAAAAGAATGAGTACGTAGTATACATATAGTTAACTTTATTTAGCTGTTCAGTGCAACACTGCCATTCTGTGAAAGTAAAATAAAAGGATTAAGGTCTAACCTTAATGGAGTTCTGTTGTATTTTCTTTTGCACTCCGTACTCAATGCCTATTTTCGTTTGTTACAGTATAAAACAGCTGCCAGCTTTGGTGTTTGAAAATTTGAACTCGTTAGAGACGCTCATTTTACAAAACAATAAGATCATGAGAATACCAGAAGAAGTCATGGAACCTATTGTGGACACTCTTCGGGTTATCGATATAATGGGTAAGTTGAAAAATTTGGCTCTATACCTAAACATTTGTTCCTTTAAAATAAAGTAATAATTATTGAGGATTCAGTTTGGACCAACTATATTCTGCACTATTTTTCTTAATTCTTGCTTTCACTAATAAACTTGCCATTCTTATGACCAAGAAATTCAATGCAAATACTTTAAAATTTACATCACAAGTAGATACAGCCTTCAACTTCGAAAACCCAATTTTAGACATGGATCCTTCTAAAGTGTTAATAATTTAAAATACATTAATTATATATTATATCTCCTGGTTTGGAAGATTTTACGCCACGGGTATCATGAAAGATAAAATCAACATTTACTTGGATCAAACTCTGTTTAAATTAATCTGAATTAGGTACCTACTATCTAAAAGTAAATGGAGAGAACTTTAGCTAAAGGTCGTAGGCGAATAAATAAGGGCAATGTATGGTCTTATGTTGTTTTTATTTTAAAGCTACTATAAACATAAGAAGTAATTTGACAAAGTCTTAGCCCAAAATTATTGAGGGTGAAAACAAATTTGCAGTTCATAACTGTTAAATTACTTAACGAATTCGGCTGAAATTTAAAAATGTTGAGATAAAGTAAAGTAGTACCTACCTATTATTGAAAAACTCGGCAAAGTGAGAAACTTTAAATATAACCTAATACATTTTTTTCAGAATGTCGTCAAAGAGCAGCACAGACATTTTATCGATTCTATTTCATTGTAAGCTTTGTTCATATTACCTTTAATGGTTTCTGAATACTTCAATGACTTTCTAGGAACCAAGAACGCGTACTGTTCTTAAAATAATATTGAAATGTTTTTAAAATTTGATCTAATTCCTAACAATGCAAACAAGTCGTTTGTATACTAAAATTAAAAACGATTTTTCGTTGTTTGACAATGAATACAGAAAAACTATTTAATCTACATGAAATCTTCTGCTTGTCTAAATTGATTATTCTGTATTAGCCCATGTCACAACGAATACCCATCACCATATGAGTAGGACACCATACGTCATATTATGTTATTTTTATAAAGAGTATTCTTGTACTTGTACAGTGCAATAATTCTATTACTGCTAGCATCAGATATTTCAAACTACTGTATTCGATCTTTTGTATTCTATTTCTGTGTATAAATAACTTTATTATTTGTACATTTCTATAATCCCCTTTTACATTTTAACTTCAATTACTAACGGGGAAACAGTTGTACTTCTCCCTAAATGCAATTTTATGATGGGTTTCTTCGGTGATTTGAGACTAATTTCTTTCAATACTATTTCTTGTACTGATTATTTTCTGCTTTTGTTTTATGTCCAGAAAAATCTAAACTGTTTAAATATCGATGTACAAGACATTCTTATTTGTAAGAAAATAACAAAAATAACACTAAATTATTAAACGTAAGTAAGAATAAAATTTTCTTGAAAAGGTACGATTTCTTATTATTGTCTTCTTTTCCAACAAAATTATCACTATCAAGTATAAAACTGTTAATAAATAATTAAGTAATATATAAGTATAGTTTTATTTAATAATCATATTTTTTATTTTATCTTTTGTTATTTAAATTGATAAAAAATAATAAAAGCTATACTCTCTGGTACGAAACAAATGTTTCATGTAATTACCCACTATGAGTTTTTCAGTGGTTTTCCTATGTATTGATATAGATTCGAAAACTCACAAGGTGACGTCATGCGCAGACTTAAACGGATTTTGAACTCGTACGTGACATATCTTCCTGGGTATTCATTGTCTAATGGTATTAATCCACTTAAATTTTTTATGTTATTTAATATGAACATGTAAAGGAACAATTTTGTGGTTCTCCCCTTTATAATTTCATTTGGGTTGATTGCAGATAATCCACTCGTTTGCGAATGTGAACTGCAATGGTACGCGAATTGGTTGAGAAATCTCCGAGACAAGGATGACGAAATGATGCAGAAGAAGAGAACAGTCTGCCTCCACACAGCCGAACACAGGGAGTACAATTTACAAAATTTACCTCTGCAAAAGATGAACTGCGTGGTGAAAGCATACGATCCACGAATGATGAGTGCATCGGGCATTGTTGCGTTATCATCTTTGACTATTTGCTTTTGGGCTTTTATAGTCAAATTAACGCTATAGTTCGTATAATATGCGTTCGAATTTTCATTTTTAGTATTTGTACTGTACGCCACATAGACAAGTAGCCAGTTCGATTTTTATTAATTACACGAGAATGATAGTGTTCGATTTTGCGATTAATGAAATGCATTTGTAGCTTTGTCAATGAAAATATTTATAGATCTAAAATGATAAGCTTATTCGCAATTGTAATTTCTGTTTTTTGAATCGATGTTTTTGCGTTTCGCATTTGAAAACCAAACGATACATATCACTTGACTAAATTAAGTAAGTACATGACGGTTATGTCACAATTTGATACAAAAATTAGAAAGCCAAAAACGTATTAAAAACTGCCTTATTCTATTTTTAAATATTATTTCGAAATTAAGGAGCACTTGAACTAATGGAAAATTATCTATGAAGATATTGACCTTACCTAACCATACCTAACCTAACCAGGTAAGTTACACCCAAGGTTAGTTTTACTACATTTTATGTGATTGTTTATTTTTTAATAAATGCAGTTGAGTTTTTCGGTTTTTACTGTATTTAAAATTCTGAAGGCGAAGAAAACAACGACTATTCTCGATTTAAAAATGCTAATAAAATTTTAAAAAATAACAGCAATGCAATTGAAATGAACTAATGTAATGGTCTGTCTTCTCTATTTTTTGTTTGGGATTTATATGTTTAAATAAAAAATGGTATCGCAATTTTGACATAACTCGTAAATGATCCGTATACATATCAGATTGTACCCCAATGTATTTGACTGAATTGTAAAGGAATCGACTCCACCAATTCGAAAAATTTTGTTTGTGACTAATTGGGATGTCGTTTTTTTTGAACTATTCAACTTAACTGTCTTTCGCTGTCTCATGTTCTCTCGATGTTGTTCTTGATGTCATTGTATTACTAGACGTAGTAAGTAATATATTAGTGTATTTTAATTCTTTCTGTTTGCCACTTTGATTTACCGTTTGGTTTCTTGAGCGCATATCAGCACAAAAGAACACGACCTCCCAATCGAGTTACCAATGTGATGATGGCCTATACATATATACATATATATAAATATAATTTGGACCANAAATATAATATTATACATATCATGGTGGAAGTTGGTGAATTAATCACATGTGCCGTAGTAATTGTTAAGGTTATTATTCAATACTTGTACGTATAAAATAAGGTTTTGATACTGTCACGTTGAGAGACAGGGCGAGACAGAAGGGCCATACGTTTACGTGTGACCTTTGCCACAGTTTCTCAACGAATGTTAAATTAAGTAACAGTCAAATTTTTCGCTTTTACGAGAAAAAAAAAAGCTTTTCAGTACTTGACTCCTTTCAATTACTAGAAGAAATGAAAAAGTAAAAAAAAAATAATAAAGTTGTGCACTACATTTAGCCGTTCAATTGGATGTTGAATCGCTATACGCGTACCTAACTAATGATAGCTTTAGGATATAAACCTTTTATTAATATTATTATTACAATTACGATTATTATTACTGTTATTATTGCAGTTCGTTATCAGATGATTTACAAAATTCGTCACACTTACAGCATTCATATGTACTGCTTAGTAAGTTGTTCAATTGTGGGGAACGAAGTCTTACTATTTAGAGAAATTTCTAAGGTGTTACTAAAATAAATAAAAATCAACTTTTCCATATATATTACCTATTGCGTAAACATAAATTGTATTTCATACATCTTACTAGGCGAGCGGCGTACCCTCAGAAAGATGCATTAAAAAAATTACTAAAACTCCCCAAGAGATTTGCCGGATTGAATCCAAGTGGAATGGACTTGTTACTTTATCGGAAATGAAAAACATTTCATTGTTCGAATGGCAGATAATTTGTTATTAACAAAAAAAGTTGCAATATAGTAAAAAACAAAAAATATTTTGAAACAACTTTTTGAAAATGGACAAAAACTGGACGATTTCAAAAATTCATAATTCAGCTTCTACTAAATTTTTTTTAACTTACTAGGTCGCAAAACGATCAGTTATACTTATACTTTAATCTACTATTTTTTATAATAAGGCAACTTTCCATTTTCATCCTCAAAATTTTCATCGAAATATCTCCATTTCTTTTTCTTGCGAAACGGCAAAAATTGTAATTACAAATCATACGACAGGTTAAGGTACCATTAATGATTATTTTGAAATACGATAAGTTAAAAAAGTTTAGATGAAGCTGGGATATCAATATTTGAAGTCCACTTTTGAATATTTTCGAACCTTGCATCACCTAAGACTCGAAAATTTCGAAACAAATATCAAAACAGAAAAATTGTTAATTTTTGATTAGTTAATCTAAGAAAAGTATTTTGATTTTGTTTTTTTAATTTTGCAACCTTTTTTATAACAAATTACCTAACCATTTGAACAAATAATGTTATTTAGTTTTACCAACTACTTAACAAATTTATCCTTGTAATATTTATCCGGTAACTTTCGTCGAAAGATTCAGTGGCTTCTTTCAAACATCTTTTTGAGGGTACACTACTCGTATACATACATACATACACACTGTCTATATATTACTAGTATTTATAGGTAATTAAAAAGTTTTTTAGTATGTAAACAATATATTTGCAATAACTTTTCCGGTGTTAATATTTAAAAAGAAATGACTTTCGTATAAGGCGTTAGTTACTCAGCACTTAAGTACGTCAAAGTGTTTTGGCTAAATCAACCCTTGACTGCGGGGTTCGATAAGCACGACCATTTTCTAGACATATCCGCCGATGGTTGTGTCACACCCTGCGCTGCTATGTTGAGTTAATAATAACAAGCAAAATCGTAATATTTTTTTAAATATTTCTACAAGTGTCAGGTCGTTATCGCATAGGAGCGTAGAGGACAAACCTGGCTTATTAGGATTTTATTGATAACTACATAAATGCATATATTAAAACAAAAGAAAATAAGGTATGCGTTACACACGTACTATGCATGTATACATACATATCTCTATATATATCCTCCTTGTCCCCAAAACACACTTGTACGCACCCAACGTCAATCAACATTCTCCCAAATGTCTGTTGTATTTTGCTAATGTAATGGTCTGTCTTCTCTATTTTTTGTTTGGGATTTATATGTTTAAATAAAAAATGGTATCGCAATTTTGACATAACTCGTAAATGATCCGTATACATATCAGATTGTACCCCAATGTATTTGACTGAATTGTAAAGGAATCGACTCCACCAATTCGAAAAATTTTGTTTGTGACTAATTGGGATGTCGTTTTTTTTGAACTATTCAACTTAACTGTCTTTCGCTGTCTCATGTTCTCTCGATGTTGTTCTTGATGTCATTGTATTACTAGACGTAGTAAGTAATATATTAGTGTATTTTAATTCTTTCTGTTTGCCACTTTGATTTACCGTTTGGTTTCTTGAGCGCATATCAGCACAAAAGAACACGACCTCCCAATCGAGTTACCAATGTGATGATGGCCTATACATATATACATATATATAAATATAATATTATACATATCATGGTGGAAGTTGGTGAATTAATCACATGTGCCGTAGTAATTGTTAAGGTTATTATTCAATACTTGTACGTATAAAATAAGGTTTTGATACTGTCACGTTGAGAGACAGGGCGAGACAGAAGGGCCATACGTTTACGTGTGACCTTTGCCACAGTTTCTCAACGAATGTTAAATTAAGTAACAGTCAAATTTTTCGCTTTTACGAGAAAAAAAAAAGCTTTTCAGTACTTGACTCCTTTCAATTACTAGAAGAAATGAAAAAGTAAAAAAAAAATAATAAAGTTGTGCACTACATTTAGCCGTTCAATTGGATGTTGAATCGCTATACGCGTACCTAACTAATGATAGCTTTAGGATATAAACCTTTTATTAATATTATTATTACAATTACGATTATTATTACTGTTATTATTGCAGTTCGTTATCAGATGATTTACAAAATTCGTCACACTTACAGCATTCATATGTACTGCTTAGTAAGTTGTTCAATTGTGGGGAACGAAGTCTTACTATTTAGAGAAATTTCTAAGGTGTTACTAAAATAAATAAAAATCAACTTTTCCATATATATTACCTATTGCGTAAACATAAATTGTATTTCATACATCTTACTAGGCGAGCGGCGTACCCTCAGAAAGATGCATTAAAAAAATTACTAAAACTCCCCAAGAGATTTGCCGGATTGAATCCAAGTGGAATGGACTTGTTACTTTATCGGAAATGAAAAACATTTCATTGTTCGAATGGCAGATAATTTGTTATTAACAAAAAAAGTTGCAATATAGTAAAAAACAAAAAATATTTTGAAACAACTTTTTGAAAATGGACAAAAACTGGACGATTTCAAAAATTCATAATTCAGCTTCTACTAAATTTTTTTTAACTTACTAGGTCGCAAAACGATCAGTTATACTTATACTTTAATCTACTATTTTTTATAATAAGGCAACTTTCCATTTTCATCCTCAAAATTTTCATCGAAATATCTCCATTTCTTTTTCTTGCGAAACGGCAAAAATTGTAATTACAAATCATACGACAGGTTAAGGTACCATTAATGATTATTTTGAAATACGATAAGTTAAAAAAGTTTAGATGAAGCTGGGATATCAATATTTGAAGTCCACTTTTGAATATTTTCGAACCTTGCATCACCTAAGACTCGAAAATTTCGAAACAAATATCAAAACAGAAAAATTGTTAATTTTTGATTAGTTAATCTAAGAAAAGTATTTTGATTTTGTTTTTTTAATTTTGCAACCTTTTTTATAACAAATTACCTAACCATTTGAACAAATAATGTTATTTAGTTTTACCAACTACTTAACAAATTTATCCTTGTAATATTTATCCGGTAACTTTCGTCGAAAGATTCAGTGGCTTCTTTCAAACATCTTTTTGAGGGTACACTACTCGTATACATACATACATACACACTGTCTATATATTACTAGTATTTATAGGTAATTAAAAAGTTTTTTAGTATGTAAACAATATATTTGCAATAACTTTTCCGGTGTTAATATTTAAAAAGAAATGACTTTCGTATAAGGCGTTAGTTACTCAGCACTTAAGTACGTCAAAGTGTTTTGGCTAAATCAACCCTTGACTGCGGGGTTCGATAAGCACGACCATTTTCTAGACATATCCGCCGATGGTTGTGTCACACCCTGCGCTGCTATGTTGAGTTAATAATAACAAGCAAAATCGTAATATTTTTTTAAATATTTCTACAAGTGTCAGGTCGTTATCGCATAGGAGCGTAGAGGACAAACCTGGCTTATTAGGATTTTATTGATAACTACATAAATGCATATATTAAAACAAAAGAAAATAAGGTATGCGTTACACACGTACTATGCATGTATACATACATATCTCTATATATATCCTCCTTGTCCCCAAAACACACTTGTACGCACCCAACGTCAATCAACATTCTCCCAAATGTCTGTTGTATTTTGTGTAACGATATTCGAGTTATTATATTCAATGTTTCTATGATGTAATATTCTATATGTATATGTCAGACTTAAATAAATATATTCATCCTAATTATCGCTTTTTATTATTTATTACTTATTTTTTCCGAGTATTGAATCATTAAAGCAAAATATCCTGTCACTATAACCTTCATATTGTTAAGATCTAGGAATCGGGGAACGAAAATAAAGAACTTATAAAGGTTCGGGTCTGGTTCGATTCCCTAGTCACGTTATTATCACAATTACGAACAATTAAGTTCACTTAGTAATTGTAATAATTTTAGATAACTTCTCAAAGTGAAAAGGAGCTTAATAATTACGATAAAAATTCTATTAAAAATTAGTAGGTTTATTCAGAAACGACAAATTATTAAGACTAACTACAAAAGAAATACTAATACTTTTGGGACTTTTATTCCCACAAGCAACTAATGCTGGTGGGCGGGCAGTCCCTCCGGACTACATCGGAAGGTAGGGCGGAAGGCCCTCCTCAGCCTACTTTCAGGAATTGTTAGATACCAACTCAATTTGTGTTCACCCTGTATAGCAACTTTAATAATCATTATCTTGGGATTATTAAATATTAAGCTAAAATTAAGTAAACATAAGCAAACATCGATTTCCGTTAGAGACAACTTGTATCCATAGTTACCTACACCATCAGAAATGCCTGCTAACGTCGAAACAAACTCGGCTCAAATTAATATATCTTTAGAATTAGCTGAAAAGATGCTCATAAAATTTGATGGTTCAAAGTCTAAATTGCATGAGCTCATCGATAATTATGACAAAGCTGTATCTTTAGTTAAACCTGAATATAAAAATAATGCAATAATAGATACAAAAATAACAGATAACGCTAGGGCATTNACCGGTATAAAACCTCCGTCTTATCAGTTATAGTAGTAAGTTAGTAACTTAGTAAAATTAATGTCAGTCAGCCAGTCATTTTTGCTATCGCCAGAATCTCTGTCCGTTTAATCTTGTGGTATAATTTAGAATTAGTTAATAAAGAATTACAGTTGATTGTTTCGCTCTTCCTTCATCCTGATTTAAATTTATTCGTGTCAACATACACGTATAAAAAACTGTTTGGTGTCAGAAGTATACAACAGAATCGTGGGAATGGGTGGGTTGCGATTCGGGTGGGAAAGATGAGACGGACGAAATGAAGACAGAAGAGAATGAAAAATTTTATCTGTGGAATATTACTGCCCCATCATTTGCCTAAGTGATCCAAGGAAACCACAGAAAAACTTGGACAAAGACAGACGGACTCGGAATCGAACCGGCGTCCTCCCGAATGCTAAGCAATAGTCTAAACCTCTAGGCCATGCCGCTCGGTAACTACAAAAGTAAATGCTGGGGTTTATATATCACCCCCTTAGCATCTTGAAGGATGCGAAATATAAATGTGGGGTGGGGGTGTACTGTCTTCTTAACAGTATTAACATCAAATTCTTCTTATTGTATGACTAATTAAATGGGAAAATGTGCCTTCCGCCAAAATCGGATGTGGATTTTCTAACTAAAGTATTTTAATATCATTAGCATACGGCTTTCAGCTTTCAACATTCTTACTTCAACTTGAACATTTCTTATAAGCATTTCCCACCCTAATTCATTTTAGTCTCTGAGATATTTCAAATTTTAGGAAATATTTGATGAAAATATAACCCTCCTTTAAAATTATATCTTCCCATACTAATTTTTAAGAGTATATATAAGGTTATTTTTTAAAAATTTTACTTATTACTCTGTGAAATCGACTTTTTTTAATACATCACAAGATAGTTTAAAAAAAAACAAAAGGCTCTTGCAATACATATCGTACAGACGAAACGTACGCAATAAAACTGCACATTAAGCCACTTTAATTGTTATTTTAGAACTTCCTGGACATCGTTTGCGCAATGAGCTGATCATTATTTAATTATAGTGTACTACTGTGAAACAAACTAATTTTAGCGATAATTAACCAAAAAGACGAAATGCACTAATATCGACAATTGCCAAATGCACCGACGTTTACTTAAAGTTTTCCGTTTAGTAACAACAGAGATAATGTGTAGTAAAAATCTCTAAATCTTTTTTCTGGTTATGTATTCCAGCATGTAGGGTAAGTGTAAAATTAAAATATAAAACTCGCTGACTGACTGACAAATCACAGCGCAGCTCAAGAACTACTAGGTTGAGAAACTTGCGGAAGTTTCGCGCAGAGGTTCCGTATAAAATTATGCTTGCGCTAAAATTCAACCCCAAAAAAGTTAAATAGGGGTTTAAAATCTGTATGGATAGATTTAGTGTGGTTTTATTAACTCCAACAATCGTCCAATTGGTGTAAGAAATACATTAAATTATAATAAAAACGGCGAAATGCGAGCCGGACTCGCGCAGGAAGGGTTCCATTATCTATAAAAATTTCAACTTAGTATTTGTTGTTATAGAGGCAACAGCAATACATCGCGTTTCATGAGATACAGCCTGGTGACAGACGGACGGACGGACAGCGGAGTCTTAGTAATAGGTTCCCGTTTTACCCTTTGGGTACGGAAACCTAAAAATGATGCACTTCTATAAGGTTATGAAATATTTATTCAAAATTTGGGTTCATCCCTAAATACCTATAGCGATGACTCATCAATTAAAATCGCGACAAACTAAAGTAACGAAAGGTATTAACTTATTCAATATACTGAAAATTACTTGAATTTAGTAAAAATAAAGGGACACACGGCTGGAGGACAAAAGGGACGGAAGGGGTAGAGATTACTTTGTACAACAATAAAATAGTATTTGATGGTTTGGGTGGAAGGGAGAAATCTCATCCAACCCCAACATCACCTAATCTAATCGTTAATTTTTTTTCAAATATTTCTACATGTTATTTCATTTTGGCCCGTCGGGATTTTGACTGTTGGGATTGCAAGAGCTGGATTTCGGTAGCTACCATCTAAATTTGTAATTCATGATTTCGTATATCTAAGTTCACTTTCAATTTAACAAGGTAACGTGGATATTAAAAGCTAAAAAAAATTAATAATAACATTTTCACCAGGCATTTGGAGCATTTAGAAAATATATGATCATTGTTTGAATAAATTTCTAGAACAAACAAATTAAGTGAGTGCATTTTCGGCTTTACATTATAATATTATGTTTGCTAATGGTTTATACCTATTATAAGACACAAGTTACCGGTTGTGTTAGCCAAATCGAAGCCCGAGCGAGTACAAACACATTAAACTGTACCTAGAGCTCGCAATTTATTCCTCATCGAATAGACGTTTGGATATCCGCCAGGATCGTCTAGTACAAAGCCATCAGCGCCGACACACGTGAACCGCAAGGGCATACAAAATTGTACAGTCGTTAAATACATACCTACCGTTAAACATGTTGGAATGATTTTAAATTCGACCACATACAGACATAATTATAACAAAGTAAAGTTTCTATTTCTTTCCCTTACTTTTAAATACGTGCAAATTCAAAAGGCTTGGGCGTAGGGAGGTAAAATTTTTTAAGCAAGAAATATTTCACAGTTGAGACTTTTTCGTTCATTTAAAACACCTGTTTTCTGTCAGAAGTTGAAACTTGTAATTTTTATGCAGTCGTCGAATGTTCTTGGTTAATTCCGGAACCTTCTCGTAGTTTTTGTTTGTCACAACCTTGTGTGCGTGTATCTAATTCCTTTTTATCACGCATCTAGCTCGTAGGATGTTGTATGACCCGCTGCTGTCAGAATCAAAGTACAAAAATTCGCTGCCACAGTTACATGTTTATAACAATACAGGGCGTTACTGAAATTTATTCTGTTTTAATGTAGGTTTAAGCGTTTAGTTGTACGGTAGTTTCAGTCCTATTATCGGAAAAAACTCAGTAGTGCTGAATTTCGTAAGGAAAAACAATTTAATCTAAAATGTCTGATCTTATGATAACAAGTTCAACAGAGTTTTCCAAAAACAATAAACAATTATTAACGAATGCATTTATCGTAATAGGCAATTTATTATAATAATTACTACTAAATAGGTATAAACAAAAAATTGCGTCATACAAAGTCTAGACGTAATAGTCAAACATATGCCACTGATTTTGAATCAAAAATTCATTTTCCGCAGGTGATATCAGATGGGATAATTCGTAAGTTTTAAAAAGCTAAATAATTAAAAACGACGTAGGAGCAAACAGATTTTACATTTAATATGTTCAATAGCATAAGCATGGTTTTTTAATGTGAACTTCTTATTTGCACAATTTTTACATCATAATAATTATATTATTTACAAAATTTTTGCCTCAAAAACTTATAAAACTGTTACGCAATGAGGTGAAATTCTCTGGCTTTGCTTCTACATGTAGGTATTTATTTTAAACCCCTTAAGTAATGTAGGCCGTCATGAAACTAACTTGTCGATATTTGGGAAGTATTTCTTAATACATTTTTAAGAAATATTACATAAACAATAAATTATTATATTCACTCTTGTAACAAAAATAATATCACAAATTTTCAAAAAGTAAATTTCATATTGAAATTACTTTATGATAGGGATATGTTGTTCTTCTTCACATTTTTTGTAAATATTTATCGATACAAAAGCAGTAAAGGTTTCTTAAAACTAAGATTAAATAATTATAACTATTTAATATTTATAAAATTTAGTGTTTTATGTCTATCACATTTTTTCTGGATCGAAAATAACAAAAGTAATGGGAATCAAACGTTAAACTTTCCAATAAGGAAATATCACAAATAAATTATGAGACAGACTCAAAACCATAATGTAGTATACACCATTTACCTATTAATGTTAAAATGAACTAAATGGCTTTATGGGATACGTAGTGTTTTCTTTTACTAATTGTTTTTATAACAAGAAATTGTTGCTCTGTATATTAATATTTTTATGCCCGTGAAAATGGGTATTGGGTAAATTCCTTATGAAAACCTTTTACAAATTACTAGGTTTTTTGATAAGCTTTTGTCTACATAAATCACACTTTCCGCAATCCCATGTGATCAAAATTTGACTAATTTATTTCACATATCAAAAAACTAAAAAATCAAAACTATCACATCGGATCTTTTAAATGATGTAAGATTCATTCCCTTCCATTTGAAATATAGTAGAAATAATGAAAGTGATAAGCATTATAAATTCGCTAAGTTTCAGTACATGCTAAATTGTATTTAATTTTTTGTAAGTTATCAAAACAACTAAGGCTTTAATTTTTTTTCAATTTTAAGCTTTTTGATAATTAACATATATTATAAAAATCATATAAACCTCTAAAAGCTGCAAACATTTAAAGTGTCTTTTGTTATTTATTTTTTATTGTTATTGGCTAGTAGGTAAGTACCGCTTTAAAATACCCACATTTCTTTAGAATCGTATCTACTTTATATACAAAGTGCGTAAGGAATACAATTGAGAGGCATTTTAGTAGTTCTCTGGGCAACATGCCTTTCAATTGCTTCATGTGCAAACATAACTCAGTAATTAAAGCTTGGATAAGAATTAGCCAAAAAAAATCAAAAGCATGAAACAGCTGAGCCCTATTTTAAGAATTCAAAGCCAGACGTCGGGATTGTACAAAGAATTTGAAAGTTTGATGTTATATGTATTATTGTCTGTGTTTCGTGCTAGTGGTAGTATCAGAAGCTAGCAGTATTTCCGCCAATCACCTTCAAAATGGTAAGTATTTAATCATAAGTTCCTCTGTACATGCCAAACCACAATGCTTGCCTTTTAGAGTGAAGAATTGAGCAAAGAGCAAATTGCTTGTGAGTATTTTCTTCAATTTTTTTAAAATAAAGGGCTTTATCCGGTAGTCATGCCCAGTGTGCTTCCCAAAGCTTTACGTCTAAAAAGTATTTCTTAAGCAAGTTACCACTATTACAATTAGAATTTGTTTATTCCGAAAAACGTTAGACTGCATTTACTTAAGAGTAAACTTAACTTAAGCGTAACAATCAACTTGTAATCGATTCAATTAATCTTCCTCAAGAATAATTAGGTATTATACGGTCATGATATGCTTCTAACACATAAAAAGTAAATGGGTGGTAAAATTGGACACTGCTGAAATTAATATGTGAAAAAAAATATTGGGGATACCAGACAAAAAAACAAGTAAAAAGAAATAATTGCGAAAAAAAAAGTTATTGTCTTCTTTAATTATCGGCAATCTTCTTAATTAGTCTAAGGAAAAGTTTGTGAGTAAAGCTAAATCATAAAAAATATTTGAAATACTCGAACTTATATATTTCGGGGATGAATAGTTTCTGTTAGTAGTAGAGCCCAGATTTATACCGTTTGGCCCATCAATAGGTATTACTTTAATGTGTGGAAGTAATATGTTTATATTTAGATAGCACCAGAAAAATCTGTTGAGTCCTACTACGTAAATGCATTGGGCCAAATGAAATGGATCTAAAAGTTTGTTTCAGAAATCCCGCTTTGTTTATTTTATTTCTGTATGTTGCGACTTGTGTCTGTCAAATTTAGACAGAAACCATACTGAACTTACTAAACGAATTTTTTTTTATTTCAAATTATCTATTGGGCCAAATTATGTGGTTGTGTCTGGCTTGTATATGGGAAGTATATGAACCATATAGCTGTAAGAGCAAATCGTCCATGGTTGACCGATTAAAGCCTTTTTAGAATAGCAAATGAATCAAATTATTGTTTATACTATTATCATTTACTTTCATGCTAATTATCTACATGAATTTATATACATATGCATGAAATATTTTGTATTTTTCAACACTTTAGTACTTAAAAATGCTTTCGATACATTTGACGTCGAAAAAAAGGGAAGCATCGGTACAGTTATGATTGGAACAATTCTTGGAATGCTAGGGATTCAAACTACTGATAAAATGCTGAAAGAAATTATTGACGAAGTCGACGAAGATGGTATGATTCTTTAATATTTATAATTTCACACACTAATTATATAAAATTTGTTATTTAATACACAGGTTCTGGGGAACTTGAATTTGAAGAATTTATTATTTTGGCTTCAAGGTTCATGGTTGAAGAAGATGCTGAAGCACTTCAATCTGAACTAAAAGAGGCATTCCGTTTGTATGACAAAGAAGGTGAGTCTTCTTGAGTAAATGCTAATACATAAAAGGTTTAAGAAATCTGGTATAAATATTCTACCACTATTATTAATGAGGCACTTTGAATATTTGTATATAATGTATAAGTGAATTCATTTTTTAAATTAGTCTTATCCACCACAAATAACATCAAATTTTACCAGTATTTGATGTCTATAACTAAAGATTTTAATGTAAAAAATTGTTTTATACAGTAAAAGTGAATTTTCATTTCTTCCTCTTTTCAAAATATTATTCTGGGAATCGAAGTCGAAATGAGATCAGTTGCGCTATATTTAAAATAAGCATTTTAAAATCAATTTAAATTGTAATTAGATATCTATGGGTCACCACTTAATTTTAATTAATTTAACTTAAATTAAATAATAAAGTTTGTTGTTTAAATTTAATTTAAATTAATGCCTCTATGAACACTTACACATTGTATGTACAAAATTTCCAAAAACAAAAACAAATAGGAAACCACCCCTATTTCAATACCACCTCGACGGATTTCGAGTATGATGGTTTGGCTCCATACTCAGCAGACAGCCCTTTATCACCCTGAAAAAATCAGCCTGTTGGCAATTTGTTTTTTGAAAAATGATGTCATCACTGGACTAGATTGCTATATCTAATTTACAGGCAACGGTTACATATCAACTGATGTTTTAAAAGAAATAATTAAAGAGCTTGATGACAAAATAACGCCCGATGAGCTGGAAGGAATGATAAAGGAAATTGATTCTGATGGATCCGGAACTGTAGATTTTGACGGTAAAAAGATAGAGCACATTTAAGAAAATATTATATACTGCTGTTATTTTATTATTTTTCCAGAATTTATGGAAGTGATGACAGGCGGTGACGACTAATATACTTCATATTAAACAAAAACGAGTTTGTATTTGCAAAATCGAAATGTAAATAATATTTGTTTAATATAAATACTAAGTGAAAAAATGTTTTAAATCATCGCATTACACCAAACTAACGGGGGCCGGACTGGTGGTTTGATTTCGGTGAATATTTTATCGGAAATGTATAAAATCTAGGAATTGTGTATAATACCTAGGAAATGTATACAATGCAGAGGCTATTTAGGAAATCTATAAAGTATTGTTTGAAAGATTTTTTAATAAATACATATCCTGGGAAATGTATATATTTCCTAGGAATTGTATGAAATTCCGTTTTTGTACTAGGAAATGTATAAAACTAATGCTTTCTGTAAATCAAATGAATAAAACACGTTAGTGAACAATGAATCGGAGTTATCTGTGTTTACGCGGTTCTAGTGCGATATCCCATGTATATGCATTGGTGGCGTTATTGTTTGGTTAGGTTAGGTTTGGAGATGTATACCCACTAGTGCCGTTATTGTGTGGTTATTAGGTAGATTTATGACAGACTGGAGTTTCTTTAGTGTCCTTGCCCTGGCTGATATGCTGGAATAATGTATGCCTTATTATGATCTCCGCCCCCAACATATATATATATATNAAAGAATATATATATATATGAAAATGACCAACATTATCACCTCTACAACATACTAAAAATTCAAGGTCATCGTGTTTGCTGAAACAAAAATAACCCCGTCACATTATTCTAACATCTAACATATCAGTCCAAATTGACTGCCGTATTATTGCCTATTTAGTATTACCTGTAATACATTTCTAATTGCTATTTAGGAAATGTATAGATTTCCTAACAAATATTTCTAATATAAGTAATTAATTCCACACATTTCCGGGAGATTTTAAGAATTATATACATTTCCTAGGAATTTTATACAATAACGAATTGCATACATTTCCGGTAACAAATATAAAAGAAAGACTCAAAAATTAAAGGAAAGCAGTAAACAAAAACGCTAAACCTAACCCCTCATATGCCGTAACCGAAGCGCACTCGCCCATTTAAGAGCCAGTTACTTCATAACCGAACCGTACCAAGCGTTTTAAACCCCTTAACCTTCCTTACACAGAATTAAAAAATTAATTGGACAACAAATTCCAGTTTCAATAGTTCATCAAAAATTAATAATTAATTAATATGTTAAGTAAAATATAGACATGCTCTGTAAAAAGTGCAGAAGCTAAGCGGAAATAATTTTATTCTTAGTAAATAAGTAATTCCAGTGTTTTCCGTAGTAAACTATTTTTCTGTATTAATTAATTTTTTGTTATGTAAACATCAATAACAGCAGAAAATAAAACTGGAAGCTCTCGGTTAATATACTTAATGTACAGTGTACCAATCGAATATTAAAAAAAAAACCCGCATCAGTATCCACTTTTATTCCAGACAGTAACTTAATTACCCAAATTTACCTGTCATTTTGTAAATCGACTCGGTAGACACTTCATATGTTTGTTTTTTTTATTGATAAAATTAATCATCAATATATTATGATGGATTAAGTCAGGGTATGGTTCCCTAATTTTTTCTTTCTATATAAAATATTTCTGCTCAACTATAGTTAAGGTTCTGTTTTGACTACCGGTATCAAATAAGTTTGTGTCATGAAGTTGACCTTACTTTTTTTACCGAAAAAAGTAGATACCAGTTCCGAGAGGCTAAACTATAGTAGGTATAAGTAGCTGCGTTAGGCTGGGTTAGGTTAGGTTAGCTTGATATCATATTAAAATAATTAGTATCTCTAAAACATTTCCGTTAAAACTCGTTTTATTGTAATGCTACCGTATAGCTATCAACACACTCCCAAAACAATTTATTGAATTACACATTGATGTTCTAGAGGTTTGTTTGAACGTGTATTCGATAGGTTGTTGCTCCTGGAATCCCTAAAGGTTATCGTGCCATCTAATTTAAATGCTGTCCTATTAAATGCAATAAGAAATACAATCAATCACGTTACGCTATATAAAATCACATCGAATGGATAATCAAGAAATAGTATTAGTGCACCTCTTGTAACGTTGTGAAACGCTTTAAAATACAGTAAGAAGATGAGTAAAAGCGAAAGTTATAAATTGGTAGGAAAATTCTTTACAATTTATTTGTTTTCACCCCTAATATATATTGATTACAGGATGAACTTGATAAAGAACAGATTCAGAGTAAGTACGTNAAACCCGCATCAGTATCCACTTTTATTCCAGACAGTAACTTAATTACCCAAATTTACCTGTCATTTTGTAAATCGACTCGGTAGACACTTCATATGTTTGTTTTTTTTATTGATAAAATTAATCATCAATATATTATGATGGATTAAGTCAGGGTATGGTTCCCTAATTTTTTCTTTCTATATAAAATATTTCTGCTAAACTATAGTTAAGGTTCTGTTTTGACTACCGGTATCAAATAAGTTTGTGTCATGAAGTTGACCTTACTTTTTTTACCGAAAAAAGTAGATACCAGTTCCGAGAGGCTAAACTATAGTAGGTATAAGTAGCTGCGTTAGGCTGGGTTAGGTTAGGTTAGCTTGATATCATATTAAAATAATTAGTATCTCTAAAACATTTCCGTTAAAACTCGTTTTATTGTAATGCTACCGTATAGCTATCAACACACTCCCAAAACAATTTATTGAATTACACATTGATGTTCTAGAGGTTTGTTTGAACGTGTATTCGATAGGTTGTTGCTCCTGGAATCCCTAAAGGTTATCGTGCCATCTAATTTAAATGCTGTCCTATTAAATGCAATAAGAAATACAATCAATCACGTTACGCTATATAAAATCACATCGAATGGATAATCAAGAAATAGTATTAGTGCACCTCTTGTAACGTTGTGAAACGCTTTAAAATACAGTAAGAAGATGAGTAAAAGCGAAAGTTATAAATTGGTAGGAAAATTCTTTACAATTTATTTGTTTTCACCCCTAATATATATTGATTACAGGATGAACTTGATAAAGAACAGATTCAGAGTAAGTACGTAGGTTTTTGTTTTAGTTGTTTGTGTAAAATATCGTCTTTCATATAACGTTTTTAATCATTAGCTTAGAACAGGGATGGCGAACCTTTACGTATCGATGTGCCATTTTTATAAATAAAAGTTTAATCAGGTCATAGACGTGCGATCAAATAATTTTGTCTCTGTGATTATTGGGAAAATAATAATAATAAATATTATCAATTCACAATTCTTAATTTTTTGCAAACAATTGGAACATTTTGCAACGTTTAAATTATGCGTGTAATTTAAATTAAAGTAAAATTAGTGTGACTTCTGTTTTTGCAGATTAGATGACAAATAACTAATGTTAGGGTTGTAAGATTTTACTTTTAGCAGAATGCATGAGTCATCTGCCAAACGGTTTCTGAAAATTCCTTGATTAAAGAAATAAATTCTTTAGTAACTTAGTCTTCTTCTTTCTCATGCATTTCTAAATTGTTGTTATATTTTCTCAAATTTGGAAAATAATTGTAGTTTCTTGTGATGATGTCGTTCATCAAAACAGGCAGTTTAGTCTCAAAAGCCCGAATGACATCTATCATGAGGATAATTGTTTTATTTAAGCTTTTATGAAGCTTCACGTTTAAATTATTTGACGTAACGTGCTCAAAATATTGTGTTGCGTGTCACTAATGGCATGCGTGCCATTGGTTCGCCATCCCTGACTTAGAACAATACATAGCTTCCATATTTAGTTACAGTTAGGTATATTTTAAAAATGAATACTTTAAAAAACGAATTGTTCGAAATGAATTACCTAATGCATACAATTGTATCAATCAATGATTCTCGCTTAGCGAGGAATTGAGTAATGAAAATGAGAAATAACGTATTTATGTAATAACAACTAAATTTAGCCTATTTATACTATTATTACCAAATATTTTGTTGAGTACTATTCGGAATTGTTTTTACACCATTCTTATTCTTCATTATTTTATGAAATAAGTAAATAATTTATGTTCAATTAAAAATTTATTGTTTATCTTATAATTTCTGGCAAAATAAAAAAATTTCATGTAACTTTTTCATGCAATTAAATATGTTATATCTTCGATACTCCAATCGATTTGTTCTTATAAAATGTTCTTTCAGTGTTAAGATCTACGTTTAATGTATTTGACGTAGATAGAAAGGGTTACATTGAAACTGATATGATTGGAATAATTTTGGATCTCTTAGGAACACAACTTGATGGAGATGAATTGGAGGTAATTTCATTGGCAGGGTAGCCATCAGTTGCTATATAAACTAAATTAACTAATCGAAAGACCTTTTATATATTATAAATGTTACCGGAAATGTATGAAATCCGTCATTGTGCCTATACAATTCCTAAGAAATGTATNCGTGTAATTTAAATTAAAGTAAAATTAGTGTTTTTGCAGATAGATGACAAATAACTAATGTTAGGGTTGTAAGATTTTACTTTTAGCAGAATGCATGAGTCATCTGCCAAATGGTTTCTGAAAATTTCTTGATTAAAGAAATAAATTCTTTAGTAACTTAGTCTTCGTCTTTCTCATGCATTTCTAAATTGTTGTTATATTTTCTCAAATTTGGAAAATAATTGTAGTTTCTTGTGATGATGTCGTTCATCAAAACAGGCAGTTTAGTCTCAAAAGCCCGAATGACATCTATCATGAGGATAATTGTTTTATTTAAGCTTTTATGAAGCTTCACGTTTAAATTATTTGACGTAACGTGCTCAAAATATTGTGTTGCGTGTCACTAATGGCATGCGTGCCATTGGTTCGCCATCCCTGACTTAGAACAATACATAGCTTCCATATTTAGTTACAGTTAGGTATATTTTAAAAATGAATACTTTAAAAAACGAATTGTTCGAAATGAATTACCTAATGCATACAATTGTATCAATCAATGATTCTCGCTTAGCGAGGAATTGAGTAATGAAAATGAGAAATAACGTATTTATGTAATAACAACTAAATTTAGCCTATTTATACTATTATTACCAAATATTTTGTTGAGTACTATTCGGAATTGTTTTTACACCATTCTTATTCTTCATTATTTTATGAAATAAGTAAATAATTTATGTTCAATTAAAAATTTATTGTTTATCTTATAATTTCTGGCAAAATAAAAAAATTTCATGTAACTTTTTCATGCAATTAAATATGTTATATCTTCGATACTCCAATCGATTTGTTCTTATAAAATGTTCTTTCAGTGTTAAGATCTACGTTTAATGTATTTGACGTAGATAGAAAGGGTTACATTGAAACTGATATGATTGGAATAATTTTGGATCTCTTAGGAACACAACTTGATGGAGATGAATTAGAGGTAATTTCATTGGCAGGGTAGCCATCAGTTGCTTTATAAACTAAATTAACTAATCGAAAGACCTTTTATATATTATAAATGTTACCGGAAATGTATGAAATCCGTCATTGTGCCTATACAATTCCTATGAAATGTATAGAATTCCTAAAATCGTCCGGAAATGTGTGAAACAGATTATATTAGACAATTTCCTAGGAAATCTATACATTTCCTAAATAGCAATCTGAAATGTTATAGAGGTGATAATGCTGATCATTTGCATTATATATGAAAGTATGCTTTTCGAAGACATTATTTTAGCATATCAGCCCGCCTCCGGCAGGGGTGTTAAAGTCATTAGAGAAACCCCGAAATAAAAATGTCCAGTCTCTCAGAGTCTCTGAAAGTGAGACTCGAGTTTCTGTCTCTCATCGAGTCTCTCTGCTGTCGCTGAGAGAGACTGTCGAGAGACTGTCAAAAAACTGTTTAGCGTCTCTGAACGAGAGACTCGAGTCGCTCATTAGACAAATCCTCATTTCGAATCCAGTCTCTAAATGAGAGATTCGAATCTCTGAACGAAAGACTCGAATCTCTCAATAAGTGGTGTCTCGATAGACATGGTTAAAAGTTCAACATATTTCAGAGATCCCAGTCTTTCTACGAGAGACTCCAGTCTCTCAATTTTTCGGTTTTAGTCATTCAGTCTCTCTGTGAGAGACTCGAATCTCTGAATTAACAATTTTATCGTTCGAGTCTCTCATACGGAGACTGAGAGGTTCATAAAAACACCTAAGCAATAACTGAGAGACTGTGAAAGACTGTGAAAGACATTCTCAGAGACGCTGAAAGACTTTGATAGACTGAAAATTTTTGTCTATGGACTGATTCCAGTTTTGTTAATTTTATAGATTGATAGCCTTGGAATGGTACATATATTTTCTACATTTCATACATTTCCGGTAATATATACCTATAAGTACACTGTGAATCGATATTATATGTCTTTTAACACATATGTATTTTTTTAACAAACTTTGACTATATCAAATCGACAAACTGATTCAGAGCTTAATTTAAGTGTGTCATAAATGAAATTGACGAGGATGGAAACGGTGAAGTGAGTTTCGAAGAATTTGCGAACCTGGCAGCTCGTTTGTTGGTGGAAGACGATGAAGATACGGAAGCTATTCAACATGAATTAAAAGGCGCATTTCGACTATACGACAAGGAAGGTACGATCGTTAATATAGAAAAATAAGTAATTAATGAAGGCTTCTAGAACAATTAGTATATTGCTACATTGGTTTTGCTGTTTTAATTTAAATAAACTACCTAAATTTTCGGACACATCTGAAAATTATCGTATAAGCCAATCATTAGTTGAGTATTTAGGAGGTTAATTTTACTCAGGTCTGGGTGAGTTGCACAGTTTGGAAGCTTTAGATTTCTTGTAAGCTTCTCTAACACATAACAAAATATAACTGATTAGTCAAATTTAATATTGCTTATCATTTTAGATGGCTAGATATATACCTAAGTCCTTGCATAATACGAGTTAAAGCAGTAGTTTCACATTTAACTCAAAAACATGTTATATATGTAATGTATTTGGATAGAAGAACTTTTAATAATTGTGTTACAAACAAATCATAACATAATATTAAAATTTAATTTTTAACGAAATTGGATTTTCGGATTCTAACCGTATCTTATTGATAAAATCTCTATGACAAACCATCAAAAGTGTTCGACGTTTCGTCTCCTATCACAAGGGACATCCTCGGTAATTTTACGTTACCGATTCAAAATATCTAACGCTGCTGCTAAACGTTGAACACTTTTTACGTCACCATGCACCGTCATGGGGATTTCATCAACAAGACACGGTTAAAATTCCGAAATCCAATTTATTCAAACATCAAATTAATTTTTACTTTTGTATCGATATTGTATTGGGTGGCTTACGTTAGTTTTAAACAGGAAACGGCTTCATTACTACCGACGTGTTAAGGGAAATATTGAAAGAATTGGATGAAAAACTAAGTGACGACGAACTTGACAACATGATCGAAGAAATAGATGCAGATGGATCTGGCACAGTAGACTGGGAAGGTAAATTTGAAAAATGTAATTCAAAGCATTATTAGAAAAAGCTTTTTTGTAGAATTCAAAGCCGTAATGATTGGATGAATCATCAATTGCAAAAAGGATCCTTCTGAATCAATATTGCGAGTCTTTTTATATTTATTTACTTATGTACAAACATTATTAAATCTTGAATAAAATATATCTATACGTAATTATAAAACTTAATAAAAATGTTACACATTTTGTAGGAAAATTGTCAATCCCTTGATCATCATCATCATAAGGTCGGCAGTCCTAAGACTGATTGGATACGCACCTTCACTCTTTTCTATCCTGAGCTAATCTTCGCATTTCCCTAAAACTAGAACATCCCACATCTTCAACTATTTGAGAATAGTAATCTAGCCTAGGTCTACCTCTATTCCTCTTAACTCCTGTTTCTGTCTCTGATATGTCCCTGACTAGATCTTCATGCCTGAGAAGGTGTTCTACCAATCTATCTCGCTTATTTCTTATTAACTTTCATAGAGTCCTCTGTTCTCCTATTCTTTCTAGTACCTCTTCATTTATAACCTTTTCTATCCACGATATCCTCATTATTCGCCGTTCGCGAGCATAAAAGTGACTTTTTCTTATTGATGGCAACTCGACCCTGCACTATTCTCTTTTTTATATCCCTACTACCCCTTTCGTCCTGACAATACCTTGCTAATAATACGAAATAATAAGGAAATTTTTATAAAAATTCATAACGGTAAGAAACGAAACTAAGATTTACTTCGTTATAAAATCGAAGCCAATGAAAACCTAAAATATATAAAACAACATTTAGCAAATGTGCAGGCCGATCGAGATTAATCAATTCCTGATTTATTAAAAAAAAATATCTGCTTCTATATTTAGAGAATTTGTTGCGTTCTTAAAATCTCTTAGGCTGTGAAACTGCACACACATGTACCACCTATATCGGTGTCCCCATCCAAGTCTATTATTATAAAAAGGCATTGATTGACTTTGCATTCGATAAACAAAGTCGTGCCTGGTGCACTGTTCTAATTTTTTTTGTCAGTAAGTACTCGCAGCCTCTTTCGTCGAACTGGTAAGTAGATCTATTAACAGAGTGATAACCATAACAATTGCAAAGTAAAATGCAAAATCTAATTTTCATTTGTAGGTGATACAGCAATTAATTATTATTGAAAATTCATTAGCTTTTCCTGCAAAATGGCAGACGATAAAATAATCACCGATGAAGTTAAGCAAATGGTTGAGGAACTTTCTGACAAACTTGCTATGCAAAAAGATCAAGTTTTGAGTAAGTTTTGTACATAACTGACATATAAATTGCGCAGGCACAAAAAGCTTAATAAAAAATACTGTTTCTCAAACAACAATAACAAAAGGGTTTTTCTATTTCTATCCAAATATATTTAATTAATGTGCATTTAATTAATAATAACTATTTAATTAATGAGAGCGATTAAGTGTACCACGAAAAAGCAAATTATAATCATAATGGTGTAATTGGTCACTTTCACTTTTTGATTAAGTCTATTTTGTATCAGAGATTAATTCGCAGTATAATTAAGGATTGTAAATTATTTTTTCTCGTAATATACCACACTTTAGCAATAATAATTAAGATTAAATTGCAGTGCTCTATAGGACATTCGTAGCTTTCGATGTTGATAAAAAAGGCTTCCTTGATCTTGAGATGATTGGTCAAATTCTCGACATGTTAGGGCATCAGTTAACTTCTGATGAACTTCAGGTTAGTATCTATCAATAATCTCATTAACAGGATGAAACATATGTCTAGAACTGTTTGTTTTTTAAAGGCTATAGTTAATGAAATTGATCAAGATGGAAACGGCGAGTTAAGCTTTGAAGAATTTAGTTTGCTGGCATCCAGATTTGTAGTTGAAGAAGAAGAAGACACAGAAGTAATATTAAAAGAACTAAGAGATGCGTTTCGGCTTTATGATAAGGAAGGACTAGGCTATATCACAACTGATCTATTAAAGGAAATTTTAAAAGAGTTGGACGATAAGATGACTCCAGCCGATTTAAATGAAATGATAGAAGAAATTGACGTTGATGGTTCAGGCACCGTGGATTGGGAAGGTACGCTTGATTAATTATAGCCTATTGTTTTTAAAGATATATAAAGTGTTTGTCTCTTCTTTTCAGAATTCAAAGCCATGATGATTGGCTAGTAAGTGCCGTTGTAAAAGCATACGCATCTAATTTTAATTAATTAAACGTTCGTGTTACAAGGTCACCCACGAAATACCAAAATTTTGGGCAAACGCCAAAGCACTGATGGGCTGTACATATTTTTAAGTTGTTTAGATTTTATTAAAAAGTAAATAACATACTTTAAACATTAAAGAATTTTATTAAATAACGAATCAGTTTTTAAAGTGAAACCATGAGGAACAGACGAATTATTAGGAAGGAAAAATTTGAATAGTTTCTTTTAGTGCAGAGTTTTTTTGGTCTCACCTTTCCTTGTTTTTTGGCAGTATTTCCTGAAGGTATAAACCACAGTTAAGAAAGAGATTACAACGTACCCCTTCTTAAGCATCTCGATCTGTAGATTATGATATTCGCGTAAACATCACTCTCAAAATATGTTTAAACAGGGTGATTGATCTAAACCGTTCAGAAGAATAGCAACAATGTATAGTCCTCCTCATTATGACAATGTTTAATTTCCACAGATAGGAAATCAATTACAAGAGCTAAACACTATATTGTGAAAAAATTGAAAAAAGAAACAAAACTCACCATTGTGGTTGCAATCCGATCCGTCTATCGCTATCCCTGCAATAAAATAGAAAATATGTTTTATTAATATCTAAACCTCTCCTTTTTTACAAAGCTATTTTTTTTTTTTTGAATCGATACCTAATGCAAAATGATCTCAAGATAGAATAAATAAAACAAGACATTTTGAACTCTGTTACTTTACAAGTACCTATTAACAACCAAAGACATAATAGGGTTAAAATGTGCACGATTTTTACCTCTTTCTGGAAAGGTCATATATTAAAATTTGGATTATTAAGGCAGTGTCTTCATTGCATAATATGTAATAGATAAACTCGAACTACAAAAGGGGATAATCAAAATTTGAATGTACGTAAAATGATCGTGTAATTTCACTTTGGAAATGTCTAAAATATTTATATGTAATCCTAACAGTGATTCAGCTTATACTATTGTCATCATCATCAACAATGAAGATTCGGGTTATAGGGCCGTGGTCTAAGTGAACCATTCTGTCCAGTTCTGTTGGATATATACCTACTTTTATACAATTTTGAACAATTACAATAGTTTTAAGATTAATATATGAACAAATGCTTTCACGGCTATAGCCCGAATCTTCATTCTACTATGGATTCCGGTCGTGAAAGTCTTTGTTCTTATATTAATCTTAAAACTTTTCTAATTGTTCAAAATTGTATAAAAGCGAACTCTAATCAATTCACATGAATAACTAATATAAGAAACTCTAACTCAAATTTAGGAAATTGCAATGCGAAGTAATTAAGTATTAGAAACTCCTATTCTTAAATAAAGTAAACTTTTATTTAAAAGAAAAGAACTAATAGCCCAGCGCAGTTATTATCAAAACAACTAACAGCGCTACGTTNTAAAAAAATATTTATCATCCCATTAATATAAAAGTACCTAAATAATTTTTTTGAAAAAAGGAAACACAAAAGGTAGTCACATTAAAATGAATTGAATAATTCTGCACGTACCACCACCTTCACACCTATATCCCAATTACTTAATTTCCAACTCAAATAGAAAGTTCGCTTAAGTAAACCGCAGTTGCCTTTTAAAATAATATTTGAGCTACTTGCCAAGAGATGACACCTCAATATACAATCGTTCACATTTATTTAAAAATGAGTTTCGATAATAATGAAGTTTATTACTAGGGCGATTAAAAAATTATACGGAAGTCTGGAATATAATTAAAACACAAACTAAGAAGACTTTTACAGTATGATTATTGGAATGCTTCAAATGCTTCACCAAACACTAGCTCCATCAGACAAATGTAATTTTATTACTAACCTGTTATGAAATTTTTCAAATGTTGTGTTCTTGTTTCTACTATTAATTTTTATAAAATGTCAAGGCTTAAAAAGTGCCAAAGCGGCAGAAACAATTAGTCAACATATTTATGTTAAACTGCGGTTGGATTGTCCGAATTAATAGCATGACGATTTAAATTATGTGAGGGTGACTCACGTATTTGACATCACGAATTACTTTTTTAAAAGTTTATATCGAACCAGCGATTACATCTTTATATAAAACGTATTCATAACCTTTTCACAAGGGATTTACAAGTGTTAAGTTTTTTGCCGATGTGCTCAAAATTTTCCAAAATTTATAGTTGCTCTTCCATTAGAAATACTAGAAGTTTATTAATTTGTGTACATGCCGTGTTTATTTTATCCTTTTTATTCCATTCTGAAGCTGTTTGCCGTAATAAACCGCTTATGCGATTTCCTGCAATTTCAAAAATATTGACGTTATTTTGCAATCAAAATAATCTCTAGCGTATCACGAGACCAATTTGTTATGATTTTTTTCTTGAAATAAAAGCGGCATACAACTAATACTAATTATAGGCATGTACTCGATTATTGGTCAATATTCTTAAATCACACAAAAGTTGCTTTCTAAAACGTGAAAAATAAACTACACAAACGCCAAATAACAACTAAATTAAGGAAAACATGTCTTGCCTTTCTATAAAGGTTAAAAGATCAAATAGGAAGTGAAATGCCGTGGAGCAAAACTGATACAAATAATTCCGTAACTGTAATAACTGGACCAATTTGTCGTTTTCATTTCAGTTAAATTTTAACATAAAATTGTGTTAATAGTAGTAAATGCTTCATTACATTTCTGCTATTCTAATACTTAGTAGATTCTTTTACCTATATAATGTTGCGCTTCTTCTAATACAATGCCACTTCAGCTCATCCTACCATGCATATTACACTTCTCTTTTCTAATTTTTTTTAGTGTAGTATTTCACTTCGGTTTTTTTCTTCTTTTGTTATTATCGATTAATTTCCTTTTCTGGGTGATTTTTCACATTATATATTTTAGTCTTTCTATTTTCCAAATATACTGTCAATTTTTTTGTGTCTTCTCCTTAATTCACAAATCTTGAAAATGTTCTTCAATATCACCATTTTGTTATTTAATCTGTATGTTCTATTTCCCTTATTTTCTTCTTTAGTATAGCAAGTTCCTTCTCTATTTTCTTATATTTTTTAACATATCCCGAATGCATAAATTCCTCCTCCAGTTTTCTGCTTTTATTTATCCTTATTTATTTACTTTTACAAGTTCTTTATACCTTTTTTGTCATGTTGATTAGTATTCATTAGTTATGACGCAATAAATTGTAACAGACTAAAATGCAAATTGTGCCTATTTATAAAATTATATAAACGAGAAGTCTCCATGTTTATAATAATGGTAAATAAGAAGTGGGCAAAATGCGTGTCCAACTAAAATACATAGCACGGTATGGTAAATTGGGGTAAGTATTTCTTTATACCTACATTTATATAATTAGATACTTTGTAAATGAGCATGGAATCACACTAGTTCTTAAAAACGGTTAGATCGCATCTTTTCCTTTAATTATACATTCGAAATAATACTTAGATATTTTTTCTTGCTGGGGTAGAGAAGAGATAGGCCTAGATTAGATTACTGTTCGCAAATAGTTAAGGATGTGGGTTGTTCCAGTGTAGAGGACACAAACTAGTATTTTTCAGAGGACATAAATAAAACGTCTGTACAATAGCCGTAACTGACCTTTGAACGTACAGGCGATTTATTTATGGTCCTCAATAAAAAAATATCTTTTCGACAACTACCCACCGGGGGTAACTTTCTAAAAGTTGACCCTGGTGTATGAAAAATTGAAGACTGGATAGTCGGTCAGAGAATAACACATTGAAAGGTCCTCTAGTTCTCCTCACTTCTCAAAATCAAATAAAAAAGGAAATTAAAATAATTCATACGACTACACATCAGTTTTATTCACGACTACCGAGTTTCCCAAAAAAATAAAAGACAAACTGGATCCACATAAAGTTAAAAAAAATGAGCTCATGTAAAGTTAACAATAGACCGACTGGGTCAATATAAAGTTGATAATAGACCGACTGGGTCA